CCTGTATTACCATAATGAAGTCAGAACCTGCAAAATTTATACATAACATTTACACATAACAACTAGAGGTCCAGGGAAATAGTTGTGCAGCCAGCTCTGAGCTAAGTTAAAAAGCATCATGCCATCTAGAGCTCAACAATCTTCTCAAGATTCATTCCCATTTTATAGTTCACACTTGAAGAGATTAAGAATCACGCAGTCATCAAGTGTTTAACGCCCTGCCCTGCCCCCACACGCACACCAGATGCCAGGCAAGCGCTCCATAGCTGAACCATAGCCCACAACCTTTCTCTGCATTTTAGATCCCATTTCTTTTTGATTTTCTGATACACTCAGATAAATGAACTCCTCTTAAATTTCTAACTCATTCCTCATATCAAACCAGCTATTAGCCCTAACCCCAGCAACTTGAGAAGCTAAGGCAGGAGGACCAACCTGGGCAACTGGACACCCTTCCTTGATATGAAAAATAAAAAGGGCTTGGGATGTAGCTCAGTGGTAGAGTTCTTGCCTACAAGAGCTAAGTTAAAAAGTATGAAGCCCTGGGTTCGATCCCCAGCACCACACACACACACACAAAGGACTGGATATATTGAATTATCATCACCTAGCAAGTGTTGTCACTTAACATTACTGTCAGTTACTGTGTTATGTGTGTCGTCAAGCTTCACAACCGTTTGCAGTTAGTACTGCTACTATTAGCTTTCATATCACAGAGGGTAAAACTGTGGCACCTAAAGTTCGAATAACTTTTCCAAGATTCTGGCGCTTGTAGGGCTAGGATTTAGCTCCAGCAATCTGCAGTCATTGTCTGCACATCTGTCTTTCAAGCTGTCCAGCCCCAAACCTGAAGCATTTGAATTCACTGAGTTAGAAAGCTTTGGAGGGAGTGTTGGAACAGAGCTGTAACCTCTAGTTCTGATATGCCCCTTCTTTCTCAAAGGACAGGGGTCCCAGCGCCTATCCATGGTCTCTACATTGCTTCCCAAGGATTCTTCCTGCTTCTGAACCTTCCCCCACTAAATTCAGCCTAGTTAAGTCTGTACTACTAAGCTCCAGGGAAACTTCCCCAGAGTCCAGGCTGAGCCCCAACCTCAGCATTCTGTACTTTGTATGTACCACTTAAGTTAACTACAATTAAACCATTCTTTGAACAACTATTTGTTTAAGGTCTATCTCCCCTACTTAACCACAAACAGTAGTAGTTTCAGAATTTCTTTATGGGTGGGAACAGGTAACATGGGGAGGAAGGCTTGGCTTCCATTGTTTAATACTTGACATAAGGCTGAGGAATGGCAATTGAACATAGAAATGAATAAGGATGCTGATGGAGATTATAAGAGGGAAGCACACCCTCCCCTTAACCCCCTCTTCCTCCTCCTGCTCTGGGGCACCACCACTGACTATAAGCTCCATAAGGACAAAAATAGTCTGGCTATTCTCACTGTAACCTCAACACCTGGCACTGTTCCTGACACACAAGAAGTGCATAATAATTTTTTATGGAATTAACACATAAATAAAATGGAAACTTGAACTTCATGTATGAAAGAAGGATGCTAAGCCCAGGACACAGAATTTTTTTTTTTTTTTTTTTTTTTTGATGCTGGGTACCAAACTCAGGGTCTTGCGCAGGCAAGGTATACTCTCAAAGGCTGAGCTACACCCAGGGTTCTCCTAAGACACAGTTTTTAAACGCAGCATTACCTATGAAAACATGCTGAGCACAAGACTGGCATTCAGTAAGTGCTCCATAGATGTCTGTCATTGAACTGAAATTCCTTCCTCTCACTCCCACTAACTCATCTCCCCAATCCTGGCAAAAGTAACAGCTTAATGAAAGTACAAAGTCCAGAACTGAATCCACTCTACTCCAGACATTTGCATTGGGGTTGAGGTGAAAAACTGTCATTAGCATGGCAGGAATGCAAAATTACTAGGATTTGCCCCTAGCAGATAAGTTAGAGCTAGGGAAAATATTAAGTGGCTATGGAACAGGAAAAAAAATAAAAGACGACAAAATCCCTCAGCACAGGCCAGCCAGATTCCTTATTCCAAAAGAGTGGATGTGATATCTTCTACCTGCTAAGGAGCAAATGTACTACATCTCCCCACAATCCTTCACCATTGGCCTCAGGGATGCTGGGGAAGTTTAAAACACAAATAATATGTGTTACATCCTGCTTAAAACTCCTCACAAAGCTTGCCTCAACCTTGCAGGTCAGATTGTAACCCAGACCTGTCAGCAGCTCCACTGTATCAGTCTCTCCTAGGCTGCCCAGCCTGAGATGTTTTCAACTCTTTCTCAGGCTCACTGATCAGTCTTCAATCTCAACTCACATCTATAAACTCTGTCTCAGAAAGACATTCCCTAGCCATGCCTATGGCAGATCCCTGTAATCCCAGGAGCTCGGGAGGCAGAAGCAGGAGGATCATGAGTTCAAAGCCAGCCTCATGAACTTAGCAAGGCCCTAAGCAATTCAGTGAAACCCTGTCTCTAAATAAAATATAAAAAAGGACTGGGGAGGTGACTCAGTGGTTAAGTGCCCCTGGGTTCAATTCCCAGTACCAAAAAAAGAAAAACACTCCCTGTGCCCCAATCAATCCCTGTCATGCTCTCAGAGCATGCTTATTTGTGCCTTCTAACACTTAGTATAGCCTTGAATCCTACAGTCAACCTCCTAAAAGTACTGAGCAATCTGGCCTTCACTATTTGTCCCCAGTCAGTGCAGGCCCCGGCACAGAACTGAATGAATGAATTTCTCATAACTGCTGCCCTAAACTAATCCTCCACTTAGGTTCTAAGCAGAACAAAAAAATGGTCTCCCGTGCACTTCAGCATTCCCATCACACTGTACTGATCACCAGAGCCCTTTCCAGATGAGGACTTAGAGCTCCTCCTCCTTCCCCACTTTGAGCTGGGGTCTTCTCACTTTTTTTTTCCCCAAGAAAGCCAAGAAAAAGGCCATGAAGTGGAATCCTGTCTCTTAGCTAATTCCTCTAATAAAGGAAACAGGACAGCAATCCCACATTCTCAACATTCTCCATAGCTTAAAAACAATTTATTTACTCTCATCTTTGTACATTTAATGCAAGGATCATGGATGAACACCAGCTGGAAAAACCATAATTGTTTAACTGCTTAAACGACATGCAAGGTGTGTGATGCAGTAGACAGTTGATGGCAGAGTAGAAAGAACCAGGTTTCAAAGAACCAGGTAGAAAATCAGCACTACAATTTATTAGTGCTTCCGTTTACCATCTGCAGGACCCTTGGCCTCAATTTCTATGTCTGGCAAATGGAGAGAGTGACAATGAACTTCAATTCCCATAAAGGGAAGTTCTGAACAGCTGTAAAATCCTCCATTGTCCTGATGAAATTTTTCTCTTGGCTTTAGAAAGGTCTTGGTCCTGAAGGAAGGCTGAGGTCCCCTGGGGGATGCTCTAGCCTCTAGAAGTTGGGTAAGTAATCACACGGGAGAGATGAGTCCTAGTGGTGAGAATATTTTAGACTAGGACACAGTGACCTTGGGTTCTAGTCTGGGCTCCCAGCTCTGCAGCTCCAGTCCAGCCCCAGGCGAGAGAGGCCTTTCATTGGTTTCTCTGACAACAGCTAAGTGCCGTCCTATGGTGGCGTAGGAAGAAATAGCCTCACCATCTTCGTGGGAAGGCCTAACACTAGCAAGACGCACCTTACAGGGATTTCAGACTCAAGCCCAGCTCTTATCCTGGCATCAAAGCCACCCCCTACCCCTGGCTCCCCGGAGACTACAATCTCCTCTGTTCCTGGGCGGAGCTGGGCCTACAGAGAAGGTTCGCTCCTTCCTTACCAGGAGTCAGGCCTAATGGCAGGGGCTTTTCTTTTCACAGGCTTGGGGCTGACACCCCCCCCCGCCCCCACTCATTAACAGCAAAGAAAGGATCCCCGGCCATTTCCATTTCCTCTGTGGCTCAAGAGCCCTGTTATTTAATCCCGCGGCCACCCCGGCCGCATCCTCGGTGCGGCGGGCTCCACCCATGCACCTGGCCAGTTTTCTGCTTCTCCCGCTTCCCTTTAGGGGAGCTGGAGGGGGAGGCGGGGATGGAAGGGGGTTTGGGAAAGTCGATTATGGCAGCCACCGGCCGTCGGCCTTCGGTGGACGGATGCTCCTTAAGCCAGCGACCGGTGAAGGCTCTGATACCTGCGGGGATAGAGTGGGAGGCAACTAGCCAGGGCTGCAGAGGGCGGACAGAAGCTCCTGGCACTAAGGAGATTACATTCTGGAGTGGGGAGGCCTCTGGCTGAGTGGACAGAATCGCCCCGGGGGGTACTGGAGCCGGAAGAGGCCTCGGCCCAGTCACTGTCCACACCCAAGAAATGGGGGAGGGGTGGTCTGCACTCAAAAAAGACTCAGCCTTAAGGAAGGAACCAGATTCACTCAACAACCCCCACCCCTCCCTTCTTGAATATGGGCGATGGACGTTTTCTTAATTTCTGGTAAAAGCAGATTCAAAATTCCTTCCCCCAGCCCCCGACGTCCCTGGGCGCCACTGGTCCCAGCAGGGGTTCTCCCGCCCCCGCCCCCCACACTGCCTGCGGCGGGAAGAGATACCCAGATCTAGGTGTGTCCACCCCCACCCTGATCTGAGCCTCGTATCCGGAGGCCGCAGCGCCCCCCACCCCCAGCGACACTGAGGGTTCCTGCCCAGGCCCGCAGTGGTGTGAAGGTTGCTTTTACCTCCTCTTGCAGGCTGGGAGGGGGTAAAGCCCGCGCAACTGAACCAGCTGCAGCAGTCGCCGCCGCCCTCCATTCATTCAAAAAAAAAAAAAAAAACCAACAACAACCTCCGCCCGAACCTCCACCCCTCTTTGTAAAAGAACGACGGCCCCTTAAGGAGCCAGAGCCAGCCCCAGCAATCACGGGTTAAGTTCTTTTCCGGCCCCCCATTCATAAAAAAAGGAGCGCAGCGCATGCGCGCGCGGGGTCTCTTGTGCCCACCCATTCATAGAATCGCGGACTGCGCGCGTGCGCACTGGAGCTCCCTTCCCTCCCATTCATAAAAAAGCCATTTTCCCAGGCAGTGGTTGCAACATCGCCGCTGAGGCAGCGAGCAGAGCTGACAGCCCCGAGCTGGAGCTGCGGGACTCCGGGAGCCTTGCGGGTTCCTCTGGCTGGCGTCTGAGAGTACAGCAGCGGCTGACCCGCTTGGGTTCGGGGATTTACACAAACGTGGAGCGATGCTTGTGACTCTGCAGCTCCTCAAAGTAAGTCTATGGCCGGTTTGGGGATCCGAAACTGCCCCTTCTAAGCCACGACGCGACTCCCCTCGGGCTGGGGCAAATGGTGCGCTATTTCCAGTCGCGCTTCTGTGTTCCTTCCCTCTGCTTGCGTCTCCTGGAGTCGCTGCGGTGCGCCGCAGCTCCTTGACGCCCTCCGCCCGGCCGGCACGGCGCTGGGGGTGTTCAAAGCCTGGCACCGCCGTTCCGACCCCTGGGCATTGCCAAGCCTGACTTCCCCGCCCTCTGCGACTCGGGAAGCCCCGTGCGCGTCCCAGGAGTTTGTCTCTGGCCTGGCCTCTTTCCTCCTGCTGCCACCACTCGCCTCGGGCGCTGGAACCGGAGGCTTTGGGCTTGGTCAGGAGCCACCACTTGGGTCTGGGGGGCGCCCTCGCCTTGGACAGCTCTCCCACCCCCGGGCTTCGTGCCCACGGTGCCAGCTCTGCCGTGAATCTCCCCAGCCCGCCGCAGCGGCCTATGCTCGACGTAGATTTTTCTTGCCCCTTCGGATTCGGGACCGACTGGGTTTCCCCCCTTCTGCCTCCGGCTAGATGGTCAGCTCGGGGCCAGCCGGGCATTTCTACTCCCTCTCCTTAGCTAGGCGGTTCCTAGCCGTCTGACCTTTGCTCGGCTGCCGCATTTTATGCTGTGCAACTACCTTGCAGTTGCCTTTTCCTTCCCCTGCCTCGGCAGAACCCGAAACTCCTCGGCTACCCCGTGTCTCCCTATCCCAGAACACAGAGCTGTGCCAGGCCCCAGGGCCCCCGGACCTCGCTAGGTCTGGTGGGGGCTGAAGGTGCGTTTACATAACGCCGGTTGTGTGAGAGCTGGAGGAAGAGGTTGCGTGCGTAGGAGAGATAAGGCTCCCACTTTCCCTCCTTCCTTCTTGGTGGTACCAGGCTTGACATCACCCAGGAGAGAGAATAGAGACGGTACGTTCTGAGAAATTCTGAATCGCCAAGGCCACGGGGGGCAAGGAGGGGGGTGAGGCGGGTTTGGCCAGCCAGGGCAGCTGGAGTTTGGCTCCATCACTGGGGCCAGGGCTGTGCCCAGTTCCCCCTCCATGCAGACGATCAAAAAGCATTTAGACAGTAGCTGCTCTTGTGCAAGAAGACGGTTTCTCAATTCTCTTTGATTGGGGGCTGGGGGTTGTGGGCAGAAGAAGCAAGAGAGGCGGAAAATGGTTGCATGGCTTGAAGGGCTGAGGGATGTAGCGATTAGAGAAATGGGCTGGAGGGGCTGGATGGTGAGCAGAGGGTAGAGCTGCTTGCTTCCTCTCACCAACTGCTGGATGGGCATCCATATTGCCAGGCCTGGGTGAGAGCAGGAGGCCTCCTTATGGCGCAGTGATCCTTGGGGAGAATCCCCCACCAAGGCTGTGCTGTAAGGAAAGGTGGAGGGAGATTCAGTGGGCGTCCAGAACTAGTGGCAACTCCCTCTTTCCTGCCTCTAAATCAGACCATGATTCTCTCCAGTTTGGGGAGAGGCCGGACATATCAGAGGCCAGAGAACCTGTGGAGGAAGGGAGCAAGCACATGTCTGGTTAGCAGACCAAGACTCTAACCTTCTTGACAAGCCTCTTGGGGATACAAAGCTGGAAGGTAAAAGGCCCAGAGCATTGGGAAATAGAGGTTTATCAATCTCTTAATATGCGCAGGCTGGCCTGAGGCCCTACCCAATATTGCACTGGTGGATTTCACAATGTTTAGAGTTCTCCGGATCTTCACACTAATGGAGCATAAACATCTGAAATTTTCAGCTTTTTTTCCATTTAGTGCTGGTGTGGGGTGGCCTAAGAAAAGGAGGGCTGCAGTTGGTCTCTCTTTCTCTGAGGGGTGAGAAAGAAGTTGTAGATATGTCACTGTGAAATTGCATTTCCTCTATTTCCATCCCTTGGGAGGGTCCTCATGTGCTGGCTGGCTCCAGGTGAATCCTCATCTGGTGAGCAGTACACACTGACCAATTGGAGCTATGTGGCTCCTCTGGGGAGGGGGAGAGGGAGCCTTTTGGTAGATTTTTTTTTTTTTAAATCTCCATGGACGGATATGTGCCAGCTGGGATGAGGGAGACATTAAGGACATCTGTTGGTTATCTTCCATTTTAGATTCTGAACTCAGAAGTCACTCCTTTGTGGATTGTGGATGCCCTCCTTCCCTATCCCTCCTGCTTGATCCCATGACTCTTTCCATATTACCTTCTTGAAAGGCACTCTTCATAGAGTTTTGGTTGGGGATGGTGGAAGGAGACAGAACACATAGAATAGATGATTTCAAGCTGAAGCAGATTAGGGGCTGGGCACTAGTGAACATTTGGGGCTCAGAGGTGACGTTTTTGTCTGCATCCTTCCAAGATTATGGAGAGATGTGGCCTTTTGGAAATCAACCCTTTGACTACCTCCTACCCTTTCCCGCAATCTTGTAAACCTGACATTGCATGTTCCTAAAGGGTTGGCTAACTTTCCTGAATAACAAATTAAAACAAAATGTGAATGTCAGTGATTTAAAAATTAAGGGAGAGGGAGAAACCCATTCATAAAGTGGCCCTTGAAATGTGTTGCTATGGGGCTTAATACTTTTTTTTGTGTGTGTCCTTTTTGATACCATGGATTGAACCCAGGGGTGCTCTGCCACTTAGCTACATCTCTGGCTCTTTTAATTTTATTTTGAGACATGGTTTAGGTTGCCCACGCTGGCCTGGAACTTGTGATCCTCCTGGGATTACAGGTATGGGCCACCACACCCAGCATGGGGTTTAATACTTTGGGACCACATATAGGGATTTCAGATTCTGATGCTTAATGTGGCATCTTCCAGCTCCCTATTTTGGGCCTCCACAAGCATTTTTTTTTTATTATTATTAAATTAGGCCATCTAGTCAGGTAAGACCTAGATGTTGGCAGGAAGAAGACCTAGAAAGAGTCCTTCCTCTTTCTTTCAGAGAATTATAATTTTGTTCTGAATCTAGAGTACCTGTCTTCTTGGCCTCTACTGAGGTGCAAGTCCCTTGTGACAAAAATCTCAATCCTGGTGAGGATTTTTGCCCTAGTCTGTGGGTTTGACAGTTGAAAGTGTGGGGTTTGAGATGTATAAACAAAACTCCAGACATTTTAAGGCAAGGGAATAGCCAGAGTGGAGAAGGTGTTCCATCTCATGGTCAACCTGGATCTCCCTGACAGGGGAAAGCAGTAACTCATTGGGGGAAAAAATACATACATATATATATGATTTCATTTATTTTTATATGTTGCTCAGGACTGACCCCAGTACCTCACACAATAAAGATGAGCACTCTACCACTGAGCCACAACCTCAGCCCCTGGAATATACTTTTGCTCCCTCAAAAAAATCAGAGCAGTTGGACCTGGTGGAATCCTGGTTACTGGGAAAGATGAGGCAGAGGAATCCCCAAGTTCAAGGCCCTCCTGGGCAGCTTAGTGAGGCCGGATCTCAAAGAGAGAGAGAATTAGAGCAGCTGGGGGCCAGGGCAGAGCAGGGATGAATGATTAGGCAAACCTGCTAAGCATGGGCCTTGATGGGGAACAGTCTTCCCCGAGGGCCTGCAGAGCAGCTAGTGAGTGGTCAGCACTAGGGCCTTGCTCCCTGTTACTGGGATCCTCAGAGGAGGGCCTAGTTTTAAGGGTGCCTCTAACTAACTAAATGCATCATATAGGAGGTGCGGGGTGTTGCATGATGTAAGAGGCGGGGTATTCTTGGTCTGGGGCCACCCTGCAGATCCGGGCAGCTGACAAGTCTGGGGAATGTATCCAGGACATGTGGCTGGGCTTAAGAGGCTCCACCATTCAGCTGTGATCTCGATTGTTCTTTCCAAGGACAGGCCCCAGTCAGTGGAGGAAGCAAGGGCACTGGGGAGGGAGCACAGATGTGCTGGGTCTAGTGGAGGAGGGAAGGGGCCCTTCAGGGCAGGTGGCCACTTTTAGAAGAGTGGTTTCCCTTGTCGGTAGTCTTGTCTGTTTCTGGCTCGGGGAAGGGGGAAGTCATTTCCTGCCTGGTCCCAGGAGTAAGCTAAAATCTATTATTGTCTGTTCATTTCTTGGTGGAGGGTAGGGAGACAAATAAGACCATCTTGATGTGTGTGGGAAGAAGCTCTCCCTTGGGGGTCTACGGTTCTGGTCCCACATTGCACCTTGACTTCGGTCAGTACTTCCCAAATGATGGCGGTGGTTAGCAGGTTCCTTCTAGCTTCCTAGCTCCCTTTTCTGACATGGCTACTAATGTGTGTGGGTGTGGGTGTGGGTGTGTGTGTGTGAGAGAGAGAGAGAGATGCTGGGGATTGAACCCAGGGCTTCCATACACTAAGCAAGCCTCTACCACTAAACTACACCCCTAGCCCTCCGATTCCTTTTTTTTTTTTTTTTTTTTGGTGACCCTGATGTGATTTGAACATGATTCCTTTTTACAGGATCTGAGTAGACAACAATTAATGGGGTACTACAATGAAGCCGAAACTTGAAGCTGGTTAAAATAACCCAGAACCAAAGTACAGCCAGTCTCCCACCCATTATGTGCGGGGGGGGGGGGGGGGGGGGGGCTTTGGAACTCAGCTGATTGGTTGTGAAAGAAGGAAAAGAAGTACTGGGAATTGACAACTGGTGATAGGGTGAAGTGATGAAAAGCAACTGTTTTCTTTTGTGATCTCTGATAGATTGAGGTGAGCTCCTTAGTGCCAGTGCTGGGGGTGGGGAGGGGTGCGGGGGGCAAGGCAATTCGAGAAGAATGGAGGATTCCCAGACAAACCCAGCTGCCTTAAGACCTTTATTCTCCCACTGGGGCCATTCTCAGCAGAGTTTGTCTTCCTCCTTAGGGTGCAGGGAAGGACAAGTCCCTGGCTTCCCTTGCGTCCCTTCACTTTAGAAGTCTTTTTAAAGCAATAAGTCAACATTTGGTTATAGCTTCATTAACTAACCCGGGATATTGTCAAAAATAACCAAGCAATGGTGGTTGAAAGTGGTGGGCGGACTCTCTGACAGT